TGTAGAAACATGGCGGCCTCCTAGACAGAAACGGCTCATTCTAAGGCAACGAAACGCCATTCTTATTTTCAGGTGAGTACACACTCGTGAAAACATACCTATGTATATTCCATTTCTGCCAATAGATCCTCAAATAAATGTTACATTCAGCTACTGAGACAAGATATAAGATATAAACTTGACTTACCTCTGGGACCCATCCATGACTCTAAGTAAGTGTTCAGTTTATGATTGAAGGTCTCCATTTGTCACCTAAAAAACAGAATGCATAATTAAAGCTAACTCACATCCATTACATGTTCCGCATCCATTGTAATGTTAAAATTAAAGCTATTTTTTTTGCTAATTCTACCAAAAAAATAGTTTAAACTCATCTGCATCTTTGCTCCAAAAAATCTTAAATTTTGTGACTTTTTCTCAATTTCAATACGTCAATCAGGCTTTTTAATTGCCTTTTAGCTCACAAATATAACACTGACCTAAAGGAAATGTTTCCACCTTGAACACATTTGATACCAGTGCCTCACTTGTGATAATATGTGTGGAAAACGATGTCTTGTTTGGTGCAGTCAATAAGTAACCTGTTTTGAGGATACAAGGGTCCAGGGTTTGAATCCCCGGTTAGCCAATGTGGTGATTCATTTAAGTATTCAATGTAAGTTGTGTGTTTTCCAGCGCTTCTTGTCGCAACCTGCTTGGATCCAGATCATTTCCGCTTGCGGATATATTTGTCTATTTTACATTACACATGTTCATTTGACCCATTTTATAAATATAAATTTTGATTAGTGCAGCTTTAAGTATGATAAGCTTAATGAATCTGACTGAAAGAGGGCTTTAAGGCTTAGTGATCATAACAACAGTCATCAGTTATGATTAACTCTAATTAGTAGCGTTTAAACCAAAAATGAAAGTCAATTTTGATACAAGCATATTATAACAGCTGATGTTATTACTCTTCTTCTTATCATTGATGCTAGTCGGTTAGTACTCTGGTAATTGTATAGTGTTACTGTCTTTACACTCATCTGTGTTTTGTGTCTGTTTGTGCTCCAGCCTGTCCACCCGCGCCCTCTAAAACGTCCCAATAACTGATCCTTCACATTCCTGTGGTTTCAAACAACAGATCAAATGTGGCAAATTCTCACTCTGGGACATAAAACAACAAGTCAGCAGGCAGGTGTTTACAGACGATAACCACATTTCTACTCAGCTACGACTTGAAGGTAATGAGGATGTCAAAACGTGAGGATTTATTACAACTAATGTGCTCCAGGTTTTCATAAACACATGTTTGGCCCAGGCAGTGCTGCTACATTTACTTCGACAAAGACTTCTCTAAACCTTTGTGCATGTTCTCTTGCCAAAGCTGTCAAATTGTGGTGGTGCATTACTGTTTGCCTCTGTTGATCACGCTGTCCTTTGTGAGTGTTTTGACACATAGTTGGTGTATTCAGTACTGATTTAAACAACCGTCTGTGGAAGGCAAAAGTAAAAAAGTATTGTTTTTCTGCATATTCCCCCCAGAGGTAAGTGTTTTTTTCCATAAATAGTATATATAATTTACAATATAACAAAGTCTACTGCTATGTGACAGTCAGATGAACCCGGTGACATAAAGCAGAAGGCCATTTACACGACTGTCTGGACGTGTTCACAGTTCACAGCATAGTCAAACCTCAGGAAGTACTTCGACTGGCATATAAGCCTGGACAAATGTCAAGTTGCACTGTCATGATTTTACAATAGAGGACATTTCTCCAAACTCACCTCCTGTAAATCATGTTTTTTAAATCTCATATAAAGTTGTGACAAGATTATTCACACTGCCGAGCAAAAGCTGTACAAATCCCTGCAGCTGATTTTCTTGCTGTAAACCTGATAACTCTCAGGCACACACTCTTTATTCATTATCAACCCAGAGGTGTTTGCACAGTCCTGCAGACCTTTATATTGTTTGCAAGACCCTGCTGTATCACTTCAGGCTTTGCACAAAATCCCTAGTAGCAGCCACAGAAATCGCAGTATGTCTGCGTTCTTTGTTTTCACTGACGTGTTTCCGAGCTATACATTCAATTCAGTCCTATTACATCACAGACCACTGCACCACTGGACAGTACACCTGCGTCTACAGCTGGAGACATAACACAAGATAAAATAGGGGACTCTAGTCTGCTCTGTGTAGGTCTTCCTTCCACAATGCCTCCTTCAGATTTGAGATAATATTGTGGCTCTCAATCTATACATGACGGAGGGCCACGTGAATGTTGGCCTGTTTCTCCAACAAAGACACATTTCTGAAGAAAATTTAAGATAATAAAATAAATGAATCTGATTTTGACTGATAACCTTGGACTTGGGACAATTTGGACAGAAATGTGAGTAGATATATCAAATTTAGCTAAAGCATCTCAATTCAATCTGCGTGCTGCTCTTATATACAGTCATATGATATTGAAATACGACTAAGAGAACTGAGGGGGCACGCCAGTGACTTTGTTTACATGCATTCAATACATTTATTTTTAAAGAAGTATTTCCCTAAATTCAGTCAATAGAAATTTTTCAATCTTTCTGAATTGCGCAATAGCATACAAGGAACAAATGTGTATTATTTAATAAGAGTAATGTCTGAAAAACTTCCTTGTAAATGTAGTGCAATATCTATCCCAGTTCACCAAACTCTGCATGTTATGGTGAACTGCTGCCCAGGCAACAAATAGCACATTACTGATGGCTGCATTTTTCCATAATCACTTGTCTACAGGAACAAAATATGGCTTATTCTGATCAACCCCGGTAGAGTAATATCCGCGCTCTGATTATCAGAGATGCATTAGGCTGCACCGAAACATGATAATCTGCAAGGCCTTAATCAGAGCATGATGAGCCACAACAGGAGAGCATGTTAGCAGCCAGTCAGTGAGTATTTGCAACAATCAAAGGAGAAGCTGGATCTACCCAAAACGCTAATGCATCATCTGGACTTAGACTGTGGTTTCATCACAGCAGCTGATAATGATTTATTCAAACACTAATATGGTGTTTGATTGTATGAGGCCATAGTGGGCAATGCTGCAAATCAGTTAGCAGGACTTCTTTATTGTCATTTTAAAATGATTTTTAGATATTTTAATTTCACTGGATTAGCTAAAAACAGACCATTCATCAGTTTAACAATTACAGTTTCACCATAAACTTTACTATACTGAGATATTGTGACATAAAATGACTTTGTAATAGAGGATTTTAGCAAAGATGTTTGTGTAGTATTGATATCTATACTTTTGTGTGGTATAGATAACTAAAAGTCAAAACTAGGACCGTGGTCCTCCTAACAGGGGCGGATCTAGAGAAATATATGCTGCTTTAATCACAAACAATCACGTGTATCAATATTTGCTTGGAAAAGCCCCCAAATGATGATATCTTCAAAAACATTATTGTGGCACGTTAGTGAAGAATTCAATAGAAATATCTAAAGGTGGAATTAAAAATCAGTAAATTGTTTCATTTCCTATATATATCAAATATATGTCTTTTTTATTGAACTGAACCCTATAACATGATTATATGTGTTAATTTCTGTCACGTTATTTTAAAAATTGATCTTAATTAATGTGTTGACTTTGACAGCATTTGACACCAAACTGGGGTGGCAGCTGGGGTGGCCAGGCTTTTTTTTTTTTTTTACGGGTGGCAGCTGCCACTCTAACTAGTCTGATGGTCTGCAGTACAGGAGAAATGGCACATCATACAGGTTCAATTAGATAAAAACAACATCAATTCAATCTTTGTGTATTTTGTTTTCCCTGTTGATTTGTAATACGAAGTATATTTCTCTTCATTGTGAGCCATACTATCAGGCCATAGTACTTTATTTCCCTTTAGCAGGATTTTTCTGATAAATTAATAATAATAATGATACATTTCCATTAATCTTTTTTTTCCTGATTAATTACAAACCTCAGGTTGCATAATAACAATAACTTTACATTACAATGGCTCTACTACAACGGTAAACAAGGTGAACTGTACACACACTTACACACTTACACTGCATGAACTATATCTAGAAAATTGTGGGTGTCAGTGAAAGAGAGTGAAAGAAAACCCTTTTATTATCCAATAAATTGATATTAACATAAATAGGCCAACATGTTTTTCCAGCTGTTTAATAATGAAGTACTGAATGTATTAAAGGACCAATGTGGAGTATTTAGTGGCATCTAGTGGTGAAAGTGCAGATTGTAACCAACTGAATACCACTTGCCTCATCTTTCTAAGCGTGGAGGAGAAACTAAGTTGGCCATGACACTCACAAAAGACATGAAAGGCTTATCTAGAGCCAGTGTTTAGTTTGTCTGTTTGGGCTACCGTAGAATCATGGTGCTTCAACATAGCGGACTCCATGGAAGAGAATCTGTGGCCTTTGTAGATAAAAACAGCTCATTTTAGGGAAACAAAAACACTATTCTTAATCTCAGGTGATTATAAATAAATAAAAAATAAAAACGTACCTGTGAATATTATAGTCAATTCCTGCCAGTAGATCCTCCTGAGTGCTACACACTGGACCTTTAACATCACAGTTACCCTGGTCTTAGTTCATAATGCACACATTTACATTTTTCAATGATTTGTAGACTTTGAATGTAAGGTGCCAGAGTGCATAAAAGAGCATAAAAATAAAATGACAGAATATCGATAAATCATAGAAACATCCCTGCTGCAGAGATCAATAGTAAGACATTGGAAATAATAAATAATACTAGTATAATTTATTGTTTCTCAAAGTTTCATAAACTTTCTGTAATAAAACATCTAAAAGCAAAAAACTTATTAAATGAGGCTATTTCATGTCAGTTTAGTTAAGGAGCTTCCCTGATGTGATCCAACTAAGTGTGCTGTATAATATATAATATTATATTTTTAAACACCGCAACTCCACAAGGTTTCCAAAACAACATTTGTGCTGTCATGATTCCAGACATTAGAAATATAAATCCTGACCACAACAACAACGTTGAAAAGTTTTAACAGTAACTCTCAAGGTCGCACAAAGAGGTTAAATAACGAGCCCTAACATAAATGTGCTGCAGCATTCATCTGTCTCATGTCTTTAAAAGTCATGTTTTAACTGTTTGAACATGAGCAGCAGAAGCATGAGGGATGTTGTGCAATCCGCCCTCCTCTTTGAACACACTGAATAAAATGATAATGTAAACTGTCCTGGTAACGGAGCACCGATAAAAAAAACACCAGCCGGTCCTCCCAAGATTCAAGCTGAGCGATTCGGCGTTGTCTCATTGACATCATCCTTTAATGTCAACATTGAAACTTACAAAGAGGATTTAATTAACCTTTTTTGTTAAATTTTACTTATTATTGATTTTATTTTTTCACAATTAAGAAAAAACTTAATCGCATCCAATGTCGACCGCATCCAGGGCTGTAACTGTAACAACAAGTCACCGCTCCAGCATCACCCATCAACCCATCGCTTGTGCACACGCCCATGCGCGCCTGCAAGCATTTAGAAATTTAAAATATAATTAGAGAAAGCCTTACCCATAAAGTCAAACCCCCCTGCCGCTCCCAGGTTTCTCTTCGAGAGAGCGAAATGATGCCGTGGGATGAAGAGATGCAGCTGTGTTCCGAGGACTGCCACCCTTTTAAGGCGAGGAGGGTGGAGGAAGAGAAGAGAGAGAGAAGAGAGAGAGAGAGAGGAGAAGAGAGAGAGACGACTGTGTAACCTTGGCTGGCTGGCTGGTCTGAGCACAATGTGCAGCCTTGTCGCTCAGTGGAAAATAGTGGGAGGAACACGCAGACTGGCCCGTTGCCCTGCAGGAGAGTTGCAGCCAGGAGGTGACCCGGTGTGTTGCAACGAAACACACACACA